CTCCACAACTATAATTAATTATGGGCATTTTTCCATTAAGAGACACATGTGCTTAACTCTAATCAAAAGTCTCACGTGCTGCCTAACTTTGCTTCCCATACACCCACCATGCGTGTGCCGAGCAATTCTGGTTGAAGAACGACGTCGTTTCTCTAGAGAATTTTTTTTTTTTGGAAGAAAAAAATATAAGGGAAATTTGGTTGTATAACACAAAAAAAAAAATTATATCTAAAAATCTAGCCAAAACCTATATATGTGGGTAAATCTCATCCATTAGATCTAGGATTTTTGGTTAGATTTTTAAATATATTATTTTTTTTGTTATACTACAAATTGACCCAAAATATAATCCAGAGAATTTTTTTTTGTTGCCAAATAATAAAATGTAAATTTTCCTGAAAATTTGTGTGTGTGTGTTGTGAGGTCAGATTCCTAATTTTTCATGCATTAATAAGTCGACTTACGTGTGGGTGATGTAGTGCCATGCCAGGCAAATTTTAAAATTTTTTTTTTTCTATATAAATTTTACAGTGCCAATAAAAAAAATTTAAACTTACTTAAAAAAAAAAATTATTTTATCATGGAAATAGTTTTGAATTTGGGATGAGAATCTTAAAAAACTCTCTTAATTTAATATTTACCACTAGATTACAATAAATTTTTAGAAATTAAAACTCTAAAATTATATAATACTATTTGGGGCTCTAGAAGAATGACTTTTAAAATATATGGTAGATACGACTCTGCCGGTGATGATAGGGTGAGCAAATAAATATGCATTCTTAGAAATCAATTACGGTCCGACTTGAGAAACATAACAAAAAAAAACTAATATGAAGTGAATATTTTAATTTTCCAAAAAAAAAAAGAAACAAAATTGGAATATTTTGACCATATAAACGCCAAATTTCGTTCTTTCAATAAGCAAATTAAATGAGATAAAGATGGAAGAAAATGCGGCGGTCACGTGATGGGTAGTTATCGCCATTTCAACTGAACCTTCACGAACATATTATATAAGTTCGGTTTTCCTCTACTGAAATTACGCATATCTCTATAGTACACGCACGAAATTACGACTATTATAACACAAAAACTGTCTTTTTCGTAAAACAGAAATTATGCATGTATATTTTCGCAGGTACATTTGAATTTACGGAGCATTAGCCATAAGATTGTATTATCATCATCATACGGCACAAGTACATGTTTGAAATATAAAAGATCACAAATATAATGATATCATGATTGTTTTAGTTAAATCAAAAAGTTATCATGATTTTTTATAACCAGACGGAAAACAAAAAAAAAAACCAGGCGAAATATACATATTTTCGCACAACATACATATTTTGCTATTGTTGGATAATATGATCAGTAATGTGGATGGGTTTTGATCAACCATTATTATTTTCGAATTCCTTAACAAATTTAACTGTCACAAATTGATAGCAACATCATAAATCCGACGTTCATCACAATAGTTTTCTTTATTGTACGTTCAATTAATATTTTGACAATTCCATTCGTTGGGGAAAAAAACAATCTAAAGATAATGCTTTTAGTCAATCTAACCAATAATCTAACTGAGACAAGATTTAATAGAAAAGGAAGAAAAGAAATCCAATTACCTTAAATCCTTAAGCGATGTTTCTTGCAGAAAATACGATAAGCATGGTCGTCTCGCTAAGAGACAACTAAATCTTTAAATAATCAATTAAACAATAGAGAGGGAGGAGAGTAAAAAACTGAAACTCTATAGGGAAAAAAAAATACAAATATAGATACCTAAAGTAGTGTTTACGTGACAATCTCAATTTCACTCCATACCTCGAACTCATTCAAGCTTAAAAAACCTAACTTTTAATGTTCCTTTTGATTTGCCTATAAATACATGTACATCCACACTTCTCCAATTTAAAAAACAAAGGCAATACAAAGACAAGAATTACAAATATCAATTCTCAACCTACTCCCAAAAAAACGACACGCATTCCTTTCCAAAACCCGATTTCTCTACCAACCTCAATGGCCCGTTGTTGCCAACTTCTAACCATTTTCCTATTATGGGCTCTTTTGATGCTCTCATGGTGCGAAGCTTCAAGAAACATCGTTAATGGATATGATCATTCTTATTTAAGGTTCAAATCCGATAGCTTAATCAAGCGAAGAGACGATACAACGCGTTTGAAACGCTTTGTAAGAGCCTCTCTGCGATCTCCAACTCCAACCACCGTTAGTGTTTCTGATTTTGGAGCTAAAGGAGATGGAAATACCGATGACACGGAGGTAAACGTTCACATGTTATATCTCTTAAAACATCAATCATGAACATTAATTTACTCTTATTCTAAAATTGTTTTTCTAAGAAAATTTCGACTATCCATAAATCTTCTTATAACATCAAAGTTAGTTTTTTAAATGATTTTTGTACATATAAATAAATAGTTTGAGACGATCATTTTTACGTTATTTGTACTAACGATCCATGCATGCTGCATGATCAGGCATTCGTGAATGCGTGGAAGAAAGCATGTTCTTCAAATGGAGATGTTAATCTCTTAGTTCCTAAAGGGAACACTTATTTACTTAAGTCTATTCGATTAACTGGTCCATGCAAATCAATTCTTACCGTTCAGGTAATTACAAACTTTATGTTTTGTTGATAATTGAAGTACGATTTTATATATATGATCATTTAGATATGGGTTTAAATATATAAACGAGTTTTTGATCAATGGAACAGATCTTTGGAGCGTTATCGGCATCTCAAAAACGATCGGATTACAAAGATTTCAGCAAGTGGCTTACGTTTGACGGCGTTAACAGTCTAACGGTCGATGGCGGCACCACCGGAACTGTCGACGGAAACGGCGAAACGTGGTGGCAAAGCTCATGCAAACGGAACAAAGCTAAGGTGTGTGTGTGTGTATCTAAATGATCCATTTAATTTAATATGCATCTACATGTCATGTTTAAATATAATGATATGTATTGACATTCTATTGGTGTGTTTTTTTTATGCAGACATGCACAACAAAAGCCCCAACGGTACGTTGAAACATATATGATATTCATTAAAAATGATGTTTTTTTGTTTTACTATGTTTGACATGAATACATTGTTAACAATGCAGGCTCTTACTTTCTACAACTCGAAGAATTTGAGAGTGAATAATCTGAGGGTGAAAAATGCGCAACAGATTCAGATTTCGATCGAGAAATGCTCCAACGTTCAAGTCTCTAATGTCGTGGTGACTGCGCCTGCGGATAGTCCTAACACCGATGGTATTCATATCACTAACACCCAAAACATTCAAGTCTCCAAATCCTTCATTGGAACAGGTTTTTTTTTTTAAAGGAGTTTCTTGCACATCAAGGAAGCTTAATTTTAGGGCTTTGCCATAATTTATTGATGTCATAAATGGTTGCTTTTATATATAGGTGATGATTGCATATCTATTGAAAGTGGATCACAAAATGTTAAAATCAATGATATAACTTGCGGCCCTGGTCACGGTATCAGGTAATAAATATTTTTTTCAGTATACAACATAACCTAATTAATTAGGTACTTATTATATGATCTTACTAAAATAATTAATATGATTTTTTTTTTTTGAAAAAGTAAATAATAAGAAAATTTTGATAATATACTTTTGTAAAATGAGCAGCATTGGGAGCTTAGGAGATGACAATTCAAAGGCTTTTGTATCCGGCGTCACTGTGGATGGTGCTAAGCTTTCCGGTACAGACAATGGAGTTAGAATCAAAACTTACCCTGTAAGTTTCACAAACTAACCCCTCAAATTTTAACTAATCTCTCAAAATTTCTCCAACTTATTTTTAATTTACCATCTCACCCAAATCCAAAACAGGGAGGGTCAGGAACGGCTAGCAATATCATATTTCAAAACATTCAAATGGATAATGTGAAGAATCCGATCATAATCGACCAACATTATTGCGACAAGAGCAAATGCACCGAAGAGGTTCGAATCTGATCAAATCTTTTGATACTCATCATGATGATTATATGTATATACTTTTGATCTAATCATCAAAACATGTTTTCAGAAATCTGCGGTCCAAGTGAAGAACGTGGTGTATCGAAATATAAGCGGTACAAGCGCTTCGGACATCGCAATAAAATTTGATTGCAGCAGCGACTATCCATGCCAAGGGATTGTGCTTGACAAAGTGAACATTAGAGGAGGAAAAGCATCTTGTAGCAATGCTAATGTGATTGATAAAGGCGCTGTTTTGCCTCAATGCAAAATAACTTAATTAATTAGATATATCAAAAA